CTTGATGGCAGTGAGTTTTGTTTTGTTTTTTGACTGAAAGCTGGAACCTGTGTAATGCAGAAATTGGTCAGAGAATGAAAATTAAAATATTTTTCATTTAAATAAACTTGAGAAACTTGATAAGACTACATCCTGTCAAAGGAGGGAATCTTGAAACACTTGGAAAAAATAAGGCAGTCTTGTCAAATTCCAGCTCTCATAGGTTTCATTGTTCTAATAGTTCCTTTTGGAGAAATCCTTTAACAGTTTGTACTGTACGTAAATCCATTAAAATTGTGATGTGATGGCCTTATCTCTTCAAAGGAATGTTCCCTGTTTACAAACAATTATTTTCTGCCCAATAAAATCTTTTACCTCTAACTGATGTATTGTTTGGAACCCTGCTGGCAGAATAATTGTGCTTGGGCTACTAATCACAAGGTCAGGAGTTCTATGCTGTTGGGCTGCTAACCAACAAGTCAGGAGTTCAAAACCAGCTGCCACTCCACAGGAGAAAGATGTGGCTTTCTACTCCGGTAGAGTGCTGCAGTCTTGGAAACCCAAAGAGACAGTTCTACCCTGTCCTACAGGATTGCTATGTATCAGAATAGACTATATGGCAGTGCTTTTGGTTTGAGTTGATGTTCAGGTTTTTTTCTTTTGACAGTACCCACTGCCGTGGAGTCCATTTCCACGTGTAGTGATCCTATCAGACAGGGTAGAACTGCCCCTTTGGGTTTCCATCGCTTTAACTCTTGATGGGAGCAGACAGCCTTGTCTTTATCCCAAGGAGCCGCTGATAGGTTAAACCAGTGACCTTTCTGTTAGCAGCCCAACTCAAATAGGCAAAAGTTTTGGTAATATCTAAACTTTATCGAATGATGGCGTGAGTTAGGATCCTGCACCTTTATCTCCTGTGGCCTCAGGTAGGGCAGGCAGTACTGAGGACTATATATGGCACAGTGAGGAGAGTAAATCAGTTGACTGTGGCCAATGATATACATATTATCCCTTTTGCTGCCAGCCATCAAAGGAGAGATCCTGCTGCCCTCTACTTCTGAGACGAACCTAACTTTCCTGACCTGCATGAATATTAAGGCAACTCTGCACAGGCCATATTACAAAGCTCTTTTAGAGATGCCAACAAATCCACCAAAGGCATGTTACTCCACTATAAGCATCATCTCAAAGGCACCCAGTTCCAGATCTATGGGTCAACAAACCCATCTCCCCCAATTAAGTCCTCAGAGGCACCCCACCCCACAAGCCAGCCTCCTGCCCCAAAGCACTCAGCTTTATTTGCTCTGTGGGCAGGGAAGTTCACCACTCTGTCAAGCTCTAGCTCCTGGTCCAGCTGCTGCTGCTCCTCTTCACTCTGCAAGCCAGCCTCCTGCCCCCGAGCACTCAGCTTTACTTATTCCATGGGCTAGAAGCCCAACACCCTGCCTCCGGGTCTTGTTAGATTTCTTTGGTGGGAAATAACTCGATCCACGGCTTCTCTGGAGAAAGAATTCATCGCAGAAGCCTGGTTTGTGATCCAAGTGGGTTTTTATAAAGGATAGAAGTTCAGGCTTTACAGTAACTGAACACAGGCACCTTCGTGGGACAGTACACACACGTGACAGCCTGAGGCCAGAGAGACCACGGCATGGCTGAGCAGAAAGCAGAGGAGCAGCTGAAGAGAAGGGCAGTGGACTCCAGGTTCCAGCCTTCAGGGCTTTTGGCTGGGAGGCGTAGTCGACAGTGCTGGTTGACCCCATTGACTGAATTAAACTCACCTTCCCTAGTTTGAGCCAACCCAGGTTTACCTCCCACCTAGACGTACTGCTCATCTGGCTCAGACTTGAATCGGCCCATGCCATACCCTTAGCCTGCATTGGCTTCTAACCTCCTTTAAGGGGCCCCTAGGCATGGAGAGGAACAACCTTCTATCCTGCTACCTAACAGTCTCTGTTCTGCTCCTCTTCTCTGTCTATGGTCTTCTCACTGCTCTTCCCCTGCTGTTTCTTCAAGCAGGAATCTTGGAAACACTCATTCTGAATGCTTCTTTCTTGCTGGTCGTGAGATTTTCTATTCTTGCTTCTGAAATGGCTCACTTTGTACCCAGTGGAAGGACAAAACTGACCAATCCCCTCTATTACAAGTCCTCACACACTATCTGCATGGTCCCATCCAATCATGTGGTGAGTGTTGCACAGACTTTTACTACAGTGCACGGAGTTTACATCTTGGCTCTGTTTCTTACTATCTCTATACTATAGGCAAGTTATTGAGTTATCTGGTATCTGACTGCCCTGAGTTTCCTACCAAAAGCAAACTCTCTGCCAACTAGTTGATTCTGATTTATAGTGACCCTATAAGACAGAATGGAACTGTTCCTCAGGGTTTCTGAGCCTGCAAATAGTTTTTTCTTTTTTTACAATTATAGGTTGTTGGGTTTTGAGGGTTTTTTTTTTTTTTTGCTCAGTGTTGGCTGTAAATCTTTAAAGGAGCTGACAGTCTCATCTTCCTGCCGTGAGCAGCTAGTGGGTTTGAACCACTGATTGGCAGTTAGCAGCCCAGTGCTTAGCCCAAAATGCCACCAGGGCACCTTTAAACTTCCTGAGCTGCTTTTAAAAAGAGGAAGAAGAAGAGAGGAAGGGTGATAATACTTGTAACTTTCCATTAGAGATTTTTTGTGGATTAAACAAATATATATATAGGTTTAAAACACTTCACAAAATGTTTGATACAGAGATGCTCAAACGTTAGCCATTATTAGGGGAGAGGTCTTAGACAAGAAGGCATTTCCATTTAAGCCAATAAGTATACTTTCTAGTTCCATATAATGTTCAATTCTGTGCCAGACAATGCTTTTGGTGCTTCTCACATGTGAACTTTTAAAATTCTAACTATATCCATTCTACACAAGAAGCTCAAGAATCAAGGCTCAAATAATTTGCCCAGTGTTTGAATTGTTTTCTCCTCCCCCAAATATGTGCTGAAATCTAAAATCCTCTAACTTGTGGATGAAACTGTTAGAAAGTGCTCTAAATTTGCCACTGAGTTTTTAAAAGATGATTAGACACAGGAGAAAACTGGTAACAGAGGAAAGAGACCTTATCTGCAGATAAAGGATGCAGATACATCTACTAGACCAGGGGTTGGCAAATTTATGCGACGGAAGAGCCAATCTTGTCCCTTATGATAATTTAACAATTATTCAAGAGCTATACATATATTTTTACAAACAAATGAAGTCACCATTATATGAATAATATCCCTTAAGTGAAACTACGATAATTTTATTTTAATTTTCCATTTCGCTTCAAAGCCACATGTATGTACTGAAAGAGCAGCACATGGCTGGTGAGCTGCAGCTTGCCCACCTGGAGGAAACAAAGAAGGAACTTCTGCTGATCCTCAAGCTAAATTTGACTTATTATTTCCTAAACTGAGAAAAATAAATACCTGTTTTCTTTTTAAGTGACAAAATTGTTTTTGATTCTCCTGGAATTCAGATTTCTGGGATCAAAGAATTAATGTGACCTGCACAGGCAATCCATCTTATGGTGCCTTTTATTCCAGAAGAAAATGATTCTCTGGAGTTACTTTCGGATCAAGCCAAGAGCTTAGTAAACTGCTTAGGGGAGAACATTTTGCTTTAGGCACTGGGGTCTTTTGGGAAATTATGTGCAGCCAGCTTTGAGAAGCAGGAACTCCACGGCACAACTTGAGGCTGCTTCAGGATGTATGATATGTCCTTGGTGACTTTTTCTGTACTCTGTCCAGTACTTTGATGCTCTCTTTTGAGGAATTAACACAATAATGGTCTCACCAAACAAAACGACTGTCCAGTCGATGCTGACTCATAGTGACTCTATAGGACAGAGTCAAACTATCCCTGTGAGTTTCTGAGACTCTAATTGTTTATGGGAGCAGAAAGCCCTGCCTTTCTCCCAAGCTGGTTAGTGGTTTTGAATTGCTGACCTTTCGGATTGCAGCCCAGTGTATAACCACTATGCAGTGACCTGTGGAATATCCAATTTTACTGTTCCCTCTTCTGAGCACCTTCCCAACAGGTTCCAGTGATGCTACCCAACGTTTCTTTTTTTAGTTATTGTATTTTTTTTAATAATCATTTTATTAGGGGCTCATACAACTCATCACAATCTGTACATCCGTCATCTGTGTCCAGCACTTTAGTACATATGTTGACTTCATCATTCTTACGACACCCACTTTCCACTTGAGCCCCTGGTTTCAGCTCATTTTTCCCTCTCCCTCCCCGTACCCAATGTTTCTATAAGCGATTAGGAAGTGCCATCTAATTGTGGTATTTCTCTTAAAGCCTGTGCCCTTTACTATTGCATAAGCAATGAAAGAGTGCGGAACAAACCTCTAGGAGATGGAGAATGGACACAGAACGGACACCTGTTCAAGGTGAACAGGTCAGAAACGAACAATTGAATTTGTTTGGTGTAGCTAATCTACATAAGTCAGTCCCTGTATTAAATGATTGAAAAGCTTGCAAGTCAACTTACAAGCAAATTAGAAAACAGTTCACTATATGGCTATAACTAAGCGGGCAGGTCTGGCTTGTTGTTGTTTTTTTTTAACCAAACAAAAGACAGTTCTGAGTAATAACCCAAACCGATACTTTTGTTTAATTGTAGTTGTTATTCCACAAAATCTTTTGCCGTTGTGCTGAAAGGTTCCACATTACATTTTATCTTTTGGCTCTGAGGGTCAGTTCTTATTGTTCTACAAAAATATTCGGAAAATTAGACTAACAAAAGCTGGAGGGACAGGGGGCAAAAACAGTAGTCGTTTCCAAGGGTGATAGGCGATAAGCATTCGCTTGCTCACCGGTCGGTGTGCTGGCGAACGCAGATGCGCCAATGATGAAAGGTTTAATGCTAGAGTTGTGGGTGGGGAGAGTTGAAATGAAGAGGATTGTGGGAATTCCGTTGTACGTCACCCCGTGGGCGCCTGGGAAAGGTCCAGTGTTCTCTATCATGGCTGCCTCTGGTGAAGGGCGGCCGAGGGTCTGGTCACTACCACTGCCGCTGCTCTTGGAGGCCCTACGGCAGGGGCTGTAGGCCACCGCCCGAAAAGCGGATGATGCGGAAGGTTTGTACCACGTTCTGCGGGCCGAAAGAGAAGTAGCGTCACAGGCACATCCTGCCTCCCGCGGGCGGGGGAACGGAAGTGAGAGGGTGAGAAGAGAAGGGGGAACAGAAAGACTGACGGACCCGGCGCCGAGACTGGATGGCGTCTATGTAGCATTAAGGGGATATGCAATCGTGTTGCATGTCTGTTAACATTGAGATGTTTAAGTCGTCGGGGTTTTTGATGCCGAGAACAGGCAGCGGCTACGGGAGAGGCGGCTACAGATGAATGGAGGGTACCGTATTACCGTCCGATCACCAGCATATCTGAGTTGTACTTACAGGGGATAATTTTATTGTAGTGACCTGGGCCCTTGTTTCCCATTCTTCGTTTGATGAGTTGATTGACTTCCTTTAACAAATGACCGCGCACTCACCAATGTGCTCTGTGCTGGATACAAACTACCATCGAGGCGATGCCGAATCAAAGTGACCCTATAGGATCAGTCCTATGTGGGGTCAGTCTTAGTTCTAGACACTTTCAGCCTGTGCATTGCTATCTGGAGTGTCTCTGGATAGTGCATGCGTGTTAACGCCTTGGCTGCTACGCAAAAGGTTGGAGGTTTGAGTTCACACAGAGGACCCAGAAAACACCTGGCAATCTAGTTCTGAAATTTTCTTATTTTTTAGGTTCTGAGATTTTAGTCACCAAACTCTACTATAGTTCTACTCTGACACCCGTGGTGACACCATGAATCAGTTGACTCAGGGGCAACTGACCTGGATTTGGAGATGGACAATTACAATACAAAACCAAAAATCCAAACTTAATACCATCTAGTTTATTCCGACTCATAGCGACCCTGTATAGGGATTTCCAGGCTGTAAATCTTTAGGGGAACAGGTAGCTTCATCTTTCTCCTATGGAGTGGCTGGATATGAACTGTTAGCCTTGCAGTTAGCTGTCCAAAGCTTATCTAAGTGCCATAAGGGCTCCTTAATTACAAGTAGAAGAAATGAATACCTATCTGCTGTGGTTCTACCAAACTCACCAAGGAGTAGGATATGGGATGATTCTTTGATGCAGTAATTTGAACTATTCTTAAAACAGTTTTATTAGTACTTAAGCCACATATCATACAATTCAATATCAAGAACAGTCGTACAATGATACCACAATTTTAGAACTTATTTCTTTCTTGTACTCAATGAGCTCCCCATTAATTCAGTTACTGTAGCTATAGATTTACCATCCTGGATTTCATACACAGAAAAACAACAATATAAAATAGAGGAAAACCTTACTCAAAAAGAAAGTAGACAATATTAAACACTATAACAACTTTAAAATGGTAATTTGAGTTTTTCAATATAAAATATGAGCATAGAAAAATAGCTATATGCAATTTTCTCCCAAGCACCCTCCCAACCACCTCCACTCCAAATTTAGCTTAGGTTAGTTACAGCTGCCTTGAGAAATGAGTAGTTCTTAAAGGACGTAAATGAGTTTATTTCTGGTGAGAGCTTTTGCCCAGCACCCTAGAACTTTCCCAGGACCTCTGTGGAACAATCTCACTTGAGAGCAAGGCCACTGCTGTGGACTGTACTATAACACAAGACCCACAGATTTGGGGTCTGAGTGTTGGAACCATTTCTGTGCTGATTCTTTGATTTTCCACCCAACACAGTTCACAGCAGGGAATTTGTACAAACCAGAAACGCTAAGCAAACTTTTATAGCTTCTGGATCATCAGATATGCTGCTATGGTCGCTAGTTTACCAGAGAAAAAATAGTGTTGTAGACCATCTAAGTCAGTGGTTCTTACATGTCAGTGTGCATTGGACTCAGCTGGAGGACTTGTTGAATGGTGGATTTTTGGGTACCACATATAGAGTTGCTGGTTCTGTTGCTCTGGACTGGACCCTGGATGCTGCTGGGATCTCACTTGGAAGACTGCTGGTTAAAATAGAATTGACCCTAGTAAACCTGAAGGACATCTGTAGGGAAGGCTTGGCACAGTCGTAAAGTCCAAGTATGTCTGAAGTAAGTCTCAGTACACTAGTGTAGAATGAAGTCCCTGGTGATACAAACACTTAATGTGTTTGGCTGCTAACTGAAGGGTCGTAGGTTTGAGTCTACCTATAGGCAATTGGAAAAAAGACCTGACAGTTCATGTCCAAAATATCAGGTTCTGAAACTCCTATAAGACACAGTTGTACTCTGATACCCATGGGGTTGCCATGAATACAAATTAACCCTGTGGCATCTGGTAAATACAAAATAAAACACATTTGTTGTTTGCTTGTGTGTATTGGATGGTCAAACAAAGGTCCGTCTTCCTGAATAAACTAAAGGAAGTATGTATCACTTTTTTCTTGAATATTAAAATGTCAGAATGCCCTGTACCATATGTTTTTTAAAAAGACATCAAGTAGCTGTTTTTTATTCAAATCTCATGCCAAATTATACCCAAAAGCAAAAACAGAAAAGTAAACCCAACTCACTACGATTGGGGGGAATCTGACTCATAGTGACCCGACAGGACAGGATAGAACTGCCTCTCTAGGTTTGTGAAATCATTAACCCTTTGCAGGACTAGAAAACCTCATCTTTTTCCTAGGGAGTGGCTAGTGGTTTCAGACTACTGACCTTGGTATTAGCAGCCCAGTACATAACCAATACACCCCCAGGGCTCTCTGAGTTATAGCAGAGTAGTTGGGCTATTTACAAAAGAGCTCTGCTGATGTAGTGGTTAAATGTTTGGTGACTAACTGAGAGGTTAGTCATTCAAACCTACCAGTTGCTCTGCAGGAGGGAGTCTGCTTCCATATAAAGATTTCCAGCCACAGCAGAGGAGGGGAGCAGCAAGATCCCCAGGGAATGATGAAGGTGGACATTGGGGACAGGGCGTGGTGCCCCAACAGACTGGACTGGAAAACACTCTTAAAGGCCATCAATCCTTGAACTAACTACAAGCTTTTCTTTCTTGGTATATGTTAATTTGTTCTTTGTCAGTGGCATGGTGTTGTCGCTGTTTTGTTGTACATTGTTGCTTGGTTTTGCTCTGTCTTGTTTTTGTGCATGTTGTTGTCTCCGCA